CTCGGAAACCCAAGGAGGGGTCACTATGAGTTGGGTCTGACTCGACGGCAAACAACAACAACAACACTTGCCCAAGCAGGGCAGAGGCCAGGATGAGGGCTTGGCTGATGAGAGACTGTTCTGATCGCAGAACTGTGTCCTGAGTGCATCCTGAACCTGGATTGTAGCCTGCTACTTCCCTAATAAACCCCATAATTGAGTATTATCTGTGAGTTCTGTATGGCCATTGTAACGAATTATTGAACCCAGCAGAGAAGTAGTGAGTGCTTTGGGAGGGAAGGCTGCTGTCAGAATTAGTAAAAAGGCTGGAGGATGGTGGTATGTCTGGCCTCATAGGAATAAGCCTTGGGCTATTGCTGGTGACTCTGTTTCCCCCTCAAGAGATTGGTGGAGGTCAGAAGATGTCACCCTCATTCCTTTTTTGCACACACATGCTACACCTCTAGGTCTTTGATCTCACTCCACCTGAGACTACCTTCTCTCCTCTTTCCCCATCAAAGCATCCGCTTCCTCAGACTGGATAACCCGAGACAGGTGTTCAGGAGAAGGCAATGGCTGAGTAATGTCATTCACATGAATGTATATGTAATGTGATTTTCTGTAAAACATTTTGTAACTTCAAAATACAGCTCTAAGGCAATCGTCCTCAAATGTTACTGTAATTAGAATCACTTGGGGAGCTTCTGAACTGCTTAATGTCCAACTCTTGATGTAACACCCCAGACCAATTCAATCAGAACCTTTGAGGGTGAGAGCCAGGCATTCATATTTTTGAAACTTCCCATGTAGTGTTCCAAGTGAGAGTTTCTCAATTTTACTGTGTATGGGAATCACTTGGGGGAGGGAGTCCGGTGAAAATACTGATGAAGCAGGTTGATTAAGCTGATTAAGCGGTTAATTTAGCAGATTCAGCCGGGGCCTGGGAGTCTGCGTTTAACAAGCTCCCGGGTGATGCAGATGCTGCTGGCCCATGTCTTTGTAGCCAGGATATAAATGACTAAAACAAACAAAAACTGTCTACACTACTTCTAAAAACAAACAATCTCTCAAAATATATCTAAGTCCTCTTCCTCAAATACAAATAATGGTGATAAGAGGGAACTGGGAGGGTAGGTACTTGATGTTTAAGGACTGATATCGATGTTTGTTCACTGATCTTCGTAACACCTTCAAGGCAGCAAGTAGAAAGTAGGCCTAGCCTATCCGGTCAGGAATCCGGGGCTGGTGTTTTGAAGAGACCCATGTGGCCTCTATCCTTTCCATCCACCCTAGAATGGGTTTATTGTGTCCCGTGTAGAGGCAATGCATTGGGAAATAATGGACATGCTAGCAGGATACTCACCACTTTGTCTCCAACAGCGGATTTTAGGCTTATCCTCACTTTGATGCTTTGATCCCCACCTTGATGACTATCCTCAGTATCTGATTAACAAGAAATTGAAGACTGCCAGTTATGGATGACAGACTGACCACATCTGTTTATTTCCTTCCCCTCCCAAAATCCCACTTAAGTGCTAGTAAAGAAATTTTCGACAAGGTATAAATATACTTTGGAAGATGACAGGTGATGGAGGAGTAGTAACCGCTTTATCAGAGGACAGGAAGCCACGGCCAAGTGTGTACACAGAGAGGATACAGACCCCAAAAGAGTCAGAGAATCCTAGAGCGTCTTGGGACTCAGGGAGGGCAGAGGGTGGGAAGAAGGTGTCAAGCTGAAAACAGGGGGACTGCAGTAAGTTGTGGTTAAAACCAAATTGGGGAACACTTGATCCTCCTACCTCAGTGTATCCTTGCTTAGAAAGTCACATGGAGGCTGTGCTCCAGTGAAACAAGAGAGAATTAAGAAAGAAGACACAGAATCCAGTAAGCAATCGCTTCGATCCAGGAGAGCAGCAACGGAATAAAAACTGTGGTTCAGATGGAGACAGGAGGATATAACACTCTAAGAGGAAAGACTTGAAGAATAAAACAAGGCTGAAAATAATAGATATGTTGGAGTACCTGCAAAAAAAAAAATGCTATGTAGATAGCAAATTACATGCTCTGGTAGTGTAGTGTCTAAGGCACTTGACTGCTAGCCAGAAAGCTGGCAGTTGAAACCCACCAGCCACTCCTCTGAAGGAAGATTGGACAGTCTACTTCAGTAGTGATATCGCCTCGGAAACCCAAGGAGGGGTGGCTATAAATCAGAGAAAATTAGGTATGCCAAAAAATAGAAAAAGAAGCAAGTACAAACTCCAGGACAAACAAAAAGCCACATAAGAAAGAATATACAGTGATATGTTACTTGGCTCTGCAGGCGTAATACTGCTTTGCTAAAAATTGTGATAAAGCTTCATTGAGAGGGTAAGAAAGTTGGAGGCTGCTATACCATTATGTTTTAAAGATGAGGCTAATAAAGTAGACTTGGAAGAGTGGGTGTGTAAAGTGGCTTTCATTGTGTCTAATACATAGTAGGTGTTTGACAGACACTGTGCTCTCACCCCCCATAAAATGGTAGTTGCCACGCAGAGTCAGAAGCAGGGTCTATGTAGAGCAAAGATATGTGACTGATCTCAATCACAACCGCATGAAACTGGGGCCAGAGTAGATTAAGGAGAAGCAGAGAGGGAGCAACATAAAATGTATCAACTGAGTTGTACCCACTTTGAGTCTGGCTGGTGTTCCATCCCACAGGAGAATTCCTGTTCTGCTCTTTCAGCCAGATAAACAAGGGTTCAAAGTAGTTGAGCAGTGGTCTTACATCCATGTTCTTAGTTCCTACAACACTTTCCAGTGCTGTAGTCCAGGGTTGTGACTTTCCAAGTCTCAGCATATTACTATATAAAAAAAAAAGGGGTTCAGGACCATTTGAGGGATTCCAGATCTATGTCTATTTACATCTATGATTTATGGTTCCTTCTCTTTGACTTGGCTCAGTTTGCTCCTAGCAGATAAGGAAATGAAGTTGTTAACAGATATAGTCATCCCTCACTCTCTCTGCTTTTTCAGTTACTACAAAGGGAGCTCTGGAATTTGGATGTGGATAGAGGATGGCTGGTCCAACCATTGTATCATCTTGGCTTCTACTTGACACAAATTAAACATTTAATATATGGAAAATGACATTTTGAAGCCAAACATTTCTTTTCAGAAAATATAAAATCAAATTCAAGCCCAGGCATGGGAATGAATACTAGTGAATACTAAGAGAGGTTCAACATTTTGAGGCGTTTCTTACAGCAACTTATTCCCTGCTTCGGTGGAATTTGAGATGTCACATTTGTACAGGGGACCTTCATGTTTAGCCACTTGACAAAGGGCTTCTTGAAACTGGAATTGATAAATGGTCCTTGTGTAATATCTGTACAAGAGACAAACAAAAAAGCAGTCCGTGTTTAGTTACCATGGTAGAATCATCGATTGGGGCAAAAAATTAAATTCTGCAGCCCAAGTAACCAAAGCAACACTAGGCAAATCTCTCTCTCCAGAAAGACCCAAACATGAACCCTATGAACTCATCATAACTTACCTGTATTTTATATATCAGATGACAAACAATTCAATATTACTTTCTTGAATGTTAGCTTATATTTGCAATGTGTGCTACAGATTTATAGCCCTCTCATATGAATAATATCAATTGATCCTTATAGCAGGGCAATGATATTATTTCCATTTTACAGATAAAGACTCTGAGGCTCAGGAAACTCAAGATTGGGGTATCAATAGGTAAGGAACATAGGTTTTTGGACTCCAAGGTAAAAATATTCTTTTGATTACAATACTCTCTGAACTCTGCCAGTAATGAGAAAACAAACAAAAATCTTTTTATTTCTCCCAATGATACTATTAATTCCTCAGTGGTGGCAAAGTGATCTCACACAAGTTTTATTTAATTCAATAAATCACATTGGGTTAAATTGAATTGAAAACGATCATCTATTTTGAGCTGCTGGAGATAAAAAGAGAAAGTATTTTCCTCACTTCATCATTTAATTGATCTCTATTTCTTTGCCACTGTCGTTGTTGTTATGTGCCGTCAGTACCAAAAAAATTGAGGTCAAGTCGAACCTGACTCATAGCGACCCCTCCTTGGGTTTCCCAAGGCAGTATCACTATGGAAGCAGATTGCCCAACTGCCTCGGGAAACCCAAGGAGGGGTCACTAGTACAGGGGTCCACAAACTCTAGAAGTTAAATGATGAGAAGAAAACTGTCATTTACCGGATGAATGAGTAGTCATTGGCGACATGAAACAGAGTTGCAGCATCACAGTACGATTCATTGTGAGGCACAGGTTCCATGACTCCAACTATCTCTCGCCTTAGGGAGAAAAGAAGACACGGCAGCGTGGGTCACCCACCCATCGTGAGAAGAGAGAGTTGGGCACACAATCCCTGTCATTTCATCAGTCAGTTGTAGGTACATTGGAACTGGTTGTCAGGTGAAATAGAAACAGTATAAGAAGGATTGACCCAGGGGCTGCCACATAGCAATGATTGTAAGGATGGTGTAAGACGGGCAGCCCTTCATTCTGTTGTACATAGGGTCATTGCCCTTCATTCTGTTGTACATAGGGTCACTATGAGTCAGAACTGACTGGAAGACCCCGAACTACAACAACAAAGTCCGTTACATGGTTCTCTTGTTTTTTAAAAAGGAGCTCTGGTAGCACAGTGCCTAAGGGATCTGACTGCTAACCAGAAGGTTGGTGGTTCAAACCCACCAGCCACTCCACAGAAGAAAAGCTAAGCAATTGACTTCTGTAAAGATTGACTGCCTCGGAAACCCAATGGGGGTTGCTATGAGTTGGAATCAACTCCATGGCAGTGTTTTTTTTTTTGTTGTTGTTGTTTGTTTATTTTAAAAAATCCAGCCAGACTATGCCATTGGAAAATAACTATGTGTTTGAAACATAGAGTAAGGCCTCTAAATAAAATAAAATTTATCAAGTGCTATCACATGGCCAAAAAAACATACCATGAAGGCCCTGATAATTACTCCCCAGGACTGCTATTTTGTTTTCAATTGTGGTGAGAATACAGATGAGAAATCATTTGCTGTTTCAACATTTTCTACATGTATAATTCAGCAACGTAAATTATGCTCACCATAGTGTGATACCACATTTCACACGTTCCTGGCAGACAGCATTTTTGTTTTAAAGAATGTACAAAAAAATAAATTACAAAAATGAGTAACTTGACCATTTACTAAGTATTATCATAGCGGGAGACCCCACACCTAAGAAAATGGCTGTGAAGTAGTGTTACCTGACCCTGCTTGGGGAAGGTAGGGCAGAGCCAAGGAAATTTTGTCTGAGGAGATGGCACCCAAACAAAGACTTAAAAAATAAAAAGAAGAGGCAGCTTAATATGTGTGCGAGTGCACGTGCACGCACATGTGTGCACCTGTGGGTGTGGTTTGATGGCATTGCCCTAACCTGAATGTCCATATCTTTTCCACACGCTTAACCCCATGTCACCAGCCTTTAAGATTTAGACCTTGAAATCCCAGTTATTCCGACCACAAGGCATTCTCTGAGAACACCAATCCTAATTGTTTTAGATTGGGTTCTCTCAGAAATCCTGAGACATTGAGGGTAATCCTAGGAAACACTGGCAAAGGAGTGAGGAAATGAGGCAATGAGGCAGAGAAAAGAAAGAAGAACCCCCAGCCCCGCCCCTCAAAAAAAGATGTGTTATCAGGTAAGTTGCCACTGTGTGTAACTGGAGCTTAATCCCATGGAGGGACTCTAGGAGTCAGTGTAGAGCCTTGCCTCAGAGATATCCCACCTGAGGGCAAGGGAGCTGAGGTATTTATCCAGCTCCATCAGTGACTGGCTGAGGACTGATGGGAGCTGTGTTAGTTCCTCAGCCCTTCCTGCCATGGAAGGGGTTTGGTAGCCAGAGGAAGCCCTCAGGCAATGGAATCCCACCACCCACTGCCATCGAGTCAATATCAACTCATAGCAACCCCCACTGGGTTTCCAAGGCTGTAAATCTTTATGGAAGTAGATTGCTTCATCTTCCTCCCAGGGAGCAGCTGGTGAGTTTGAACCACCAACCTTCTGGTTAGCAGCCAATGCCTTACCCACTATGCCACCAGAGCTCCTTAGGCAATGGAATATAGATTCCGATAGTCTGTGTGTATGTGTATATATGTGTGTCCCCACAGGAGAGTCAAATGCTTTTATCCTTTTCTAAATAAATGGCAAAATCATGAGAAAATATTTTACCAACTGCATACTTACTTCATCTCCCACCACTTTTTCGTCCACTGCTCTTTGGGAATTTCACCCTTAAAGACCATCCACCTCCACTTCTCTAACATGTATGTAAAGGGCAGAGTTCCAACAATAGTGAGTGCTTGTTTGAGTAGAAAGTTCAGTTCTGTTTCTGAAAATAAAATGGCAAAGGATAAATATTAACATGAGGATGATAGTGAATATTTTGTGTCAAAGAGAATTTTCCTCTTAAGGTATTATTCCTCAAGGTATGCTCACTATAAGGATGATTATATGAGAAATACTGGCAGTGGATTATATATATATATATAATTTTCTTAATTAAGGAATTTGAAATAGAGAAAAGCTATGGGATAGAATGGGTAACTAAAATACACAGCAACCCCCAATTCTCATTTTTTCTTTAATGTCAATCACCTACCTTAAACACTTCTCATCAGAGCTAACTAGGGCTAGTTCATCAACTTCCCTAGTCATACTGTTTATTATTGTAAGGTCTGTGAAGGCGGTGACCATGAATGTCTCATTCAAGGCTGTCTACCTGCCCTAGTGTCTGTTACATGATGCCCTCTGTGGGTTTTTATTAAATAAACAAATATTAGGCAGATGTGGTCAAAAGCCAGTAGACTGAGACAGGGAGGTGTTCCTAGAAAACACCATCCATTGAATAATGAAGACTAGAATGTACTTTAAATACACTGATTTCTTTCTTACCAAGAAAACAGACCATATTATTCCATTCATCTTTTATTGGTGAAGAAAATAGGCAGTGGAGATCCTCTCCAGCTTACAAGGGAGACCCACTGAAACGTAACCATGGGGACGCTATCTACTTGGTGTTCCACTCTATCTCTAGTGTCTAGAAAAATGCCTTGTATGCACATGGTATGTGTTCAATAAATAAGTTTGACATAAAGAAGAAAGATGGAGAGGGAGGGAGGGAAAGAAGGAAAGGATTTTTTTCTTTTTTTAAAACATCATTCACAGATCAAGGAAGAAACAAGAGTTTTTCAAACCAGCAATTTAACCATGTCTAGTGTCATCTTGGGAGCTCTGGTAGCATAGTGGCTAAGGCACTTGACTGCTAACCAGAAGGCTGGCAATTCAAATCCACCAGCCACTCCTCGGAAGGAAGATGGTGCAATCTTCTTCCGTAGTGATACTGCCTCAGAAACCCAAGGAGGGGTCGCTATGCGTCGGGTCCAACTCGAAGGCATGTAACAACAACAACAACAACAGTGTCATCTTAAGAGCTATAGGGATTCAACCATCTATGCCTGCTTGCGGGGAATATTGAAGAATGATAAAATAAATAACTATCTGCCAATTGACTTGAATGAGTGGAATTTTAAAATTAGGAAGTAGATATGATTACTGTTAACTACCTTATTAGTAGTAGTAGTAGTAGTATTATGCTGCTCCCTTCATGGAAGATGCCACCGATGGTCTTTAATCTACTGACATGATGATGGCTTTATCCTGATCTACTCCCAGGCTCTCTTGAGAGCACAGAGAACCTAGAACCAGCAATCAAGGCAAAGTGAATAGCCTACCTAAAGATGGAGCTCATGACCTTGACTTTGTTAACCAAAGGCTCCAGCCAGTAGAGCTGATGTTTGTAGCCCGAATAGCTAACATGGGGCAGAGAAATGCACAGAAAAGGAGAAGGCATTTGGCTCTAATTATTCCCCTGACAAGAAGGAATAAAAAGCCATGGCATCCTCATGGAAGAAGCTGGATCTCATGAGCATCTGTCATGCTCCATCAAGTTCAAGTTGTCCAAAGAGAAATGGACTCTCTCAGGCAAGATGGGTTGTCAGGAGATGCTGAAGAAGAGCCTGGATCTAAGGGGCTGTTACAGCAGGAAATTTCTGCTTCATCTTGATGAACAAACCATTGTTGTTGTTGTTATGTGCCATCGAGTCAGACTCGACTCATAGCGACCCCTCCTTGGGTTTCCGAGGCAGTATCACTACGGAAATAGATTGTCCCATCTTCCTTCCGAAGAGTGGCTGGTGGGTTTGAACCGCCAGCCTTCTGAACAAACCATTAGGTCCCTTCCAATCTTGATAGTCTACCACCTGTTTTTCAAGAACCCCCACAAGCCAAGTCATACTGTGCTTTGCACAACTTTATGGAAAAAGCTTTAGGCTTAGGCTCTAGTTCTGCTCCTGCCATTACATTGTTTAGTGACTTTGGGCCAGTAACTCTCTCTTGGCTTCAGTTTATGGATTTTAGAATCTGTGCCAGTGCTAATGTTTTGGGAAGTTTTTTTTTTTTTTTTTAACCTAAAACCAGAGAGATCTAACTAGAACCCTGACACTAATGTGATAGGTGTCCTCAAACAAGACACTTTAGTTCCTTGAGGCTGTTTCAGAATTTTTTTTTTTTTCAAATGTGTTATATGTTTCTCTGGTCCCAAGCCCATTGATTCAGCTACCACTCTTATTTCCTATATGAAGCCAAAATTTGCCATATTCTGATAAATATTTTTAATTTTTTTTTAACCAGCAGCAATTCCCCACCCATTGCCATCAAGTTGATTCAACTCATAGCAACCCCAAAGGACAGAGTAGAACTGCCCCCATAGGGTTTCCAAGGCTAGAATCTTTACAGAAGCAGTCTGCCACCTCTTTTTTCTGTGGAGCAGATGGTGGGTTCAAACCCCCGACCTCTTGTTAGCAGCCAAGTGCTTAACCACTGCACCACCACGCCTTCTAGCAATGCCCAGATACCCATAAATACCTTCTCGCTTATGTGACAAATATTTCCTATGTATGATAATACAACTTTTGCTCATATCAGACTAAAGAACCCCCAGCACAAGCCATGAAAGAGTGTTCATACCAAGGTCCTCTTGAAAATCAAGTGGCAGGAGTCCGATGGCTTTCAAATGCTCAGGTGTGGCAGCAGAGAGTGACATGATTTCTCCAACAGCTTCATGGAACCCCTCATTAGCTCCATTTCTTTGCAGGTAGGGTTGTATGGCATAGGCCATGTCATACTGGATGTGTCCCATCTCATGATGGGCTGTCAGGAAGTCATCCATTGTCACTTTTGTGCACATCTTGATCCTGCACATATATGGGCAAGATTAAAATCAACCTCATCACATTGTATTCAGTCACCACAGAATGTGATGGGGTTTGGGGAGCATGGATCAACTTTCCAATATGTAGTCACCTATGAATCTTGCATACCTACCTATTATGTGCTAGAAACTGTACAAGGTGCTCAGTATAAAGTGATAGGCAGGGCAGAATCCTGTTTTCCTGCTCACAAGCTGGAGTCCCCGGATGATGCAAACAGTTAACACACTTGGCTGCTAACCAAATAAAAACTGGAAGTTCAAGGTAACTCAGAGGCATCTCAGAAGATAAGCCTGGAAATCTGCTTCAGAAAAATCAGCCACTGTTGTAAATGGGGTCACCTTGAGTCAGAATCAACTCAAGGGCAACTGGAAAAACCTAGTACACCCATTGGTAAACTATGGCCTATGGGCCAGCTGCCTGTTTTTGTAAGTAAAGTTTTATTGGAACACAGGCAAGTTCATTTGTTTATGTATTGTCTAAGGAGCCCAGCTGGGACAAGCAATTTTTGATCAGCTACTAACTTAAACGTTGGTGGTTTGAACTTACCCAGCAGTGCCATGGGAGAAAAGCCTGGCATCTGCTTCTGTGAAGATTACAGGCAAAAAAACCCCAGGGAGCAGTTGTACTCCATCACATAGGCTCTGCATGGGTCAGGGACCAGCTACACGGCAACTGCCAATAACAGCAAGGCTACTGCTTGCATGCTGCAAGAGCAGAGTCATGTAGTTCCAGCAGAAATCCACAAGGCCTAACCTATCTACCCCTTCACAGAAAAGCATTGCCAACTGTTACCGTACTTGATGCTGTCGGGCCAACCCAGGCCTCAATTACCAAGCAGATGCACCATCACCCAGCTGCCTGAGTCATAGGTGCTAAGAGCCAACAGCTATTCCCTTATTCACTGCCCTTGGCCAGATGCAAGGTGCCTCAACCAGGAGATTATGTTCCCCTACCTTCTGGGACAATTCACAGCCAGTGTCTCACTAATATGTGGACCCAAAGGCTAGTCCCCTTGCTACAAGGTAGGACTCCTCCTGCTCCAGAGTTCTCCATGGGATCAGGCAGAGGCAAGTCTCCAGCTGAGACCAGCCTTGCTCCACATCTTCCCCTGGCTCACCCAGCTCCCTTCACTCCCCTTTTCTTGAGAGCACTCCTTCAAGGAAGCATTTGTAGAAGAATCTCCATCCCAGGCTAGGGAACGTAACCTAAGACACTCACAAACCTGCAACCTGGAATTCCTACTCCTTTTTATAGATACCAAACTCAAACCAAAACCAGTGCCATTTAGTCGATTCTGACTCATAGCAGCCCGATAGGACTGAGCAGAAATGCCCCACAGGGTTCCCGAGGCTATCACTCTTTTATTTATTTATTTATTTTAAAAAATTTTTTTGCAGTGTTCCCTCTCCTGAGGCTGTCAATCTTTATGGAAGTAGATCGCCTCATCTTTCTTCCATGCAGCAGCTGGTGAGTTCGAACCACTGACCTTTTGGTTGGCAGCAAAATGTCTTAACCGCTTTAGCACCAGAGCTCCTCTTTAAAAATAAGGAACATGAAATCCAAGCCAGATGTTGCATAATACTAAATACTAGCCAGATGTTGCATAATCATTAAGTGACATACTTGGGATTCCAACACCTATGCTCATTCCTCCAAGTCACACAGAGCCTGTTCCCCCTGCCCTTCATTCTAGCCTACCTGGCTGACTCCAGTACCCACTCCTGGTCTGGCCTCTCTGCATTGGATCCTGTTGTTCTCCCAACCCCACGTCCTTCTTCCATCTCCAACTGCTCAAACCTTCTCGTCTTTCAAATCAGTTCAAATGTCACCCGTAAAGCCCTATCTGATCCTACCCTCTATTAGAAGTGTGGTCATTTCTTCTCTTCCAATTCTCCATAACATGATAACTGTGCCCTTCTTCTGACATATACCACTTTCTCTCTTTTATTCTGGCTTCTTTATTCCCCTATTCTGTCTCATTCACCTGTCCTGTCTCACTCATGGGGAGGGGGGGATATTGAGAGGAGGATCAATGCCTGATTCACACAATTATCTTCCATAATTCTTAGCACCAAACCTTTCTGAACACAAGCACAAACATCCGCAGGGCCTTGCAACTCTAACAGATGTATATTACTTCCAAATGAGGAAGATTATCTGAAAGTTCAAGATAGGGGTAGCTAATAATCCTTTATTCCTGGAAAAACCAAGATGTGGCCTCACAGCCTCTCAGCTTTCACTCAAGAAAAGTTAGCTCCTCTCTTCTATGCTAAGAAAAGCAGAGAAGGAATCCAAGTTCAACTTCACCTCAACCACCATTGTCCCACATCTTAATATCGGCATGTAAGTAAGGACTGCATTACCTGAAGTCACCCTTCCCCAGATCCCAAGCTGTGGGGTGGCAGACCACTTTCCGGCCATCAGTTGGCTCAGTTAGCATGGACTTTTCCCAGAATCCTTGAGTCATGGGAGGGAGACCAACAGACACAAAGAACTTCTCAGCCTCCTTGAATATCCTCGTTGCATTCCAGCCCTGGAAAAAGGAACAGTATTTAGTCCCAGCATTAAAACAACAGCATTCTTTCTGTTGTACATTCTTTCTGATGTGTACATTCACATAAACTTCCTAGAAAACAATTTGGTGACATGTATGGACAGCTTTCAAAATGCCTGTGCTCTTTGTCTCAGTAATCTTTTCTCTAGGGATCTAACCTAAGAAATCATTAGAAATTAAGTCAAAGAATTCTATTTTAAATAGCTATTTTTTATAGAGAACAAGATGGAAACAGCCATCAGAATGGTTCAATAAATAATGATATCTTTATAGAGGGGAAGGAGTCCTGGTGGTGCACTGGTTAAGCACTCAGCTGTTAACCAAAAGGTCAGCAGTTCAAACCCACCAGCCCACTCCATAGGAGAAATATGTTGTGGTCTACGTCTGTAAGATTACAGCCTTGGAAACCCTGTGGGGCAGTTCTACTCTGTCCTATCCTGCAGGGTCACAATGACTCAGAATTGACTTGATGGCAATAGGTTTGGTTTGGTTTACTTTATAGAGAACTTTTACCATTTTATTTGTAAAGAATTGTTATTGGTGTTATTGTTATTACAATTTGATAATATGTGAAGAAGTAGAATTTATAAACTATGTAGTATAATCTTAATGAGAAAATACATGGAAAATATTAACAGCGGACTGAATGAGATTATATACTTTTTTGTGTCTTTATAGTTCATATTCCAAGTATAAATGTAAACAACAATGACCTATTTACTATGATAATTAAAACATAAACATTAGTTTAAAAAAGAAAATTAAAGACTACTTAAGTCAACTCTCATTGCTTGAGCCCTTTCTCAGGCCAGGCCCTGGTAAGATACAAGCAATGAGGTGGACACAGATGCACAGGTGTTTGGAATCAAAAGGTAACCCAGCAGCCTCAGGACAGTTGGGCCTTAGCTTCATAGTATGTGTGGGAGTCTAAACTTTTAGAATGTTCTAGAATTGGAGAAAGGCAGCAGGAGACATCTGTCACCCAGCAAAGTCTGCTGGAAGCCAGTGTCCTAGGAGCTGACTAGCCTGCTTTGGAGATAAGATGTACATTGGGCAAGTGAAGTTTGTGTCATCGGCAGACACCTTATGAATCACTTTTGCAGACACAAAACTTCCTCTGATCTCTAAGACCAATCAAGTCTTGTTTTTCTTCTATGACAGCCCTCAGGATTAGAAACAGGACATGAAACTATAGTTTTTTTTTTTTTTTTAATTGGCCTTTAAAGGCTTAATGTCAGGCAATATTGATATTGATGAATATAGCACTCTCAAGTAAGATGAATGCATACTAAAACAGTGCAGACTAGTAAGCACAGTTAATGTCTGTTGAATGTGCTTTGATCAAAGATTCTACAGCAGAATCTTGATCAAAAGGGGGAAAAATGCAGAATAAAGTTTCAAGTTTTCATGGAATCCAGCCTTTCTGGAGTGATTGAGCCCAGATGAATCCCGGAAACTATTGCCCTGAGATAATTTCTAACGCTTAAACCAAAAATATCCCAAAGTCCTCTTAAAACCAAACCATCATTTACTTGAATTAGTAAATAATGTCTGCCTAGAGCGCTGTGCTTTTTCAGAGAACTAGCTATATACGGGATCAAATTGATAACAGAGACTTAAAAGGTGACATAGGAAGCTTGGAGCCTTTGAGTTTATCTTAACGATGGAAGAATAATTTGGAAAAGGAGGGTGAGAATGGTTGCATATCTTGAAGAATGTAACCAAGGGCATTGACTTGTACATGGAGAAATCATGGAATTGATGTATGTTTTGCTGTGCATATATCACAACAAAAAATAAAATAAAATATTTTTTAAAATTATAAAATAAGAAAATAGCAAAATACCAAGGAATCGAGAAATTGAAAAATACTTTAGTGAACTACCAATACCAAAAGTAAATTGCTATCAACAATGCTTAAAAGATCTATTGAATGAATGAATGAACAGAAAACTAGACTGGAAATATTAGTGAGTTCTCAGTTCAAACCTTAGTTGTCCCTGACTTTGTGACTTTGGGCAAATCATTTTAACTGAGCCTTGGTTTCTTCATCTACAACATGGAGCTATCACAATGCCTGTCTCATAGATTTGTTGTAAGAGAACATTAAACAAACCAAACTAGAGTCAACTGTGAGTCATAGCGACCCCCATTGGGTTTCCAAAGTGGTAAATTGTTACAGAAGTAGATTGCCCCATCTTCCTTCTGCAGAGTGGCTGGTGGGTTTGAACCACCAACCTTAAGCTCTGAGCCACCAGAGCTCCTAATGGGTATGAAAACACTTTAGAAAGCTAGGGAACTTCATAAAAGTAGGTATCTATGCTGCTCAACTGTGAGATGGGGCTAAGACAGCCCCATGACTACTTCACCCCTTGTTGGGGAAAATTGGCCCCAATCTGTGAAATAAGAGTTGGGAGGCCTGTGCAACTTCATGTTGTTTTTCCTATAGTGGACATTTCCCAAGAGTATGGTATGTATTTAAAGATGTTTATTGCAATGTTACAGATTTTAAACCGTTAACAAGCAAAGGTCTAGCAATGCAGAAAACAGTTAAGTAAATTATGGTCCAACCACCTGAAGACACTGTATGTAGCTAATAAAAGGATGCTTAGGAAGGAAGTCTACCCAGAAAGGTAGAATTTTAGTCCAATAAAGAAAAAATACATAATTATAACTGTAGTATAATTCCATCAGTGGAAGGGGACACAGAGAAGGTGAATAATAACACCAAGATGATAAAATAAAGGTAATTTTAAAATTATTTTAAAGACTTTTATAATATTTTCAGTAATGATGATTTTTAAAACTGTGCAAAAAACTTCTAATACTATCCTTGTTTTGTCACTGTTCACAGAGATTAGTGACAAATTACCTCACAATGACTGACTTTGTGATGCCAGCGAGTAGCTAACTCTACATCTTTCTGCTTGCTGGGAACTTTGTTGTTGTTACAGGAACTTTAGGGCATCTCCATTTGAATACTTTCAAAAAGATCGATCCCATCCATACCTGTTATCAAGGTACATGAGGTCACTTACATTAGAAACTACATTTTCAGGAAAAGACAGCTACATGGGAGAAATAAATTTTAAGGCCTAGAAATGTTTTTATTTATATGGTTTCATATACGAAAGATAAAAACAGGAAACTGACATAAAAAGAAACAAAGGTGAAAATTTAGATTTTGTTTGCAAGGCCTCTTCTTCCTACCTGTTGCACCATTTCCTTTGTAACATCAATGTTTGGTTTATGTCCAAAGGGGACTGTCAAAGAGTATAGATTTGTCCAAAATCTACCCCACATATCACCTAGTTAAAAAAAAAAAATTAAGTTAACAAAGATTTCCATACTGCATGAGACTGGATTGGAAAACAGGCCACATGGTATTCTTGAGTTAATCCACGCTCTGTCCTTCCCTTTCACTACCTCTTTTTCCCTTCTCTTATTTTACATTTTCAACACTTCTTTCTTCTTCTCTCTCCTGTAAAGGTTTAAGTGGCAGGAGGCTTGTTAATAAACTGTTCAGTTTGTCTCATGCCAAATTATGATTCAAAGGCCTAATTTATTGAACGTATGGGACTTCAAAGCTCCTATGGATTAGAAAGGGATTGTATATAACCCACCATCCACAAAATACTACGAATTAAACTACAAACAATGCCTAGTATTAAATTCAAGAGACTGCAGAGGCTCATCATTCAGGAACTTCTACTAACTAGTAAGTAACTAGTCTCACTTTTGCTACAGGTATCCCAGAGTGGCACAAACAATTAAACTCTTGACTACTAGCCCAAATTTGGGTGGTTCAAACCCACCCAGATGCACCTCAGAAGATAGTCCTGGCCATCTGCTTTTGAAAGGTTACAGCCTTGAAACCCCTGTGGAGCAGTGTTACTCTGCACACCTGGGGTACCATGAGTTGGAATTGACTCCATGGCAACTAAGACAGTAATACACTTAACTGGGCGATTTGAAAAACTCGTGTTTTAAAAGAAAAAATTTAGTAAAGATATATGTGATGTCCAATGTTTCAATTTTAAAGAAAAATCTATCCATCATAGTGTATGTGACCTTTTGCTGAACCACATTCTATAAGTAAAAGACCAAAATGTGAGCCAATAAACAATATGACGTGCTCCTAAAATCAAATGTGACCTTAGGCTGAATCGACAGACTTAAATCATCTAGAACAAAAGCAGTCATGGAACCGTTTTCCTCAAGCTTGGTCAAACCTCCTCCAGAGTAACTGCTCAGGCTGGACATGCCATTAGAGAAAGGGCATTGAGAAAGCACAGCTCATCCAAAGGAGAACAACTGGGGAAAATGGGATTTGGAGGAATGGTCGAAAATCTGTGCAGGATATTTAACTTGAGGAAAGAAAAGAGTGTATGCATGGTGATAACAATGATAGTCACTGAAATGTATTGAGCACAGAGTCCTGTGCCAAATGCTACCAAGTTTTATATGATTGCTGTCTCCAAATATTTGGAAGGCCATCTTGTAGAAGAATCGACATATTCTGGGTAACCTCATAGCATAGAACTATGTTGTTGTTGTTATGTGCTGTCGAGTCAGACCTGACTCATAGTGACCCCTCCTTGGGTTTCCGAGGTGGTGTCACTACGGAAGTAGATCACCCAACCTTCCTTCCAAGGAGTGGCTGGTGGGTTTGAACTGCCAGCCTTCTGGTTAGCAGTCAAGTGCCTCAGGCACTGTGCTACCAGACCTCCTACATAGGATTAGAGTAATGAATGGAGGGCTTTAAGAGAGTTGTTGATTCGGTTTCACATAAGGTAGAAATATATAATTAGTGCCATCTAACAATTGATTAAGGAAATCTGGTGGTGCAGTAGTTAAAGCATTTGGCTGCTAACCAAATGATTGGTGGTTCAAACCCACCAGCAGCTCTACAGAAGACAGATGAGGCAAGCTGCTTCCATAAAGATTTACAGTCCTGGAAATCTTATGGGGGTCTCTATGAATCTGAATGGACTCAGTGGCAGTGACAACAATTGATTAGAAGAACGGAAGAGCCCCATCACACCAGACATGGTTAAGCAGAAGCTAAATTATGGAATATAACCTGTAGAGAGGTAGAGAGGATTTCTAATCACTTTAGAGTAAAAAGACTCTATAAGTCCTTCATCTGTAGTCTTTTCTGTTCACAGACATGACATTTAGCTATGGAGGAGAATGAGCTACAAGCAACTTAGCTTGGCAGCAATAAGAATGTTATTGTATGCAGGCCCTGGACTTTCTGAACATTGATATATTA